GCGCCCAAGCGACGAGTTTCAATTGATAAGTATTTATTTTTACTGTATTTAAAGTACATCGTAACGGTTGAAACACTGGAATAAGAACTAAAAGAAAGATAGGATGAGACCAAGAAAAAGAATCTAGAACGTAAAAAAGAGTTAGGGAAGAAACGGTAGATCAGATCGTGCTAACGGAATAGTGCCTACCGAAATTCCATCAAGTAAATCATCCATTTTTCATCATTCCTTGTTGAGTATGCCTTTCAAGATTAGCAAAACGGGTACTGTACGTTGTGTAGTAGACTTATGTGTAGTTAAATGAAAAGGAAATTTTGGTCTCCCAAAAATAGTTCTGCAACCGTTGGGATGTAAGTTGACTCTACATTTCCTGATGGGCTATAATTAGTAGCATCCTTGTTTCGATGACTTATCGTACACAGCCAGTTTTTATTGCTTTTACGCCAGCCAGGGGTGCATTGTTGCTTTTATTTTCCAAGGTTGTGTCTGCAGCTAAATTATTACTGCAGCGTTCGTCTCCTGTTTCTTGTCCATAAAACAGAACTTCCCAGGATGAAAGACGGGTGATTCCGTCCATGATTAAACGAGACGTGATGTTCCGCGTTCAGGGTTCCGGTCCATGGAATATTTTTGCCTGTCACCTGCCATTGTGTCATAATGTAATGTAAATGGCTATAGGGTCAAGTCACATAGCATCCTAAGTTAAAACATGAAAGACGGAGTCTATAACATGTGTATGATGCAGAAGTGTTTTGCAGCATTATCCCCTTCCTAGCTTGGTTAGAACTTAGAGCCTCTGGAATCTCCATGTGATAAGATACTTGGTCTTCACCTATCAGACATCTGATGACCTGCGGAGGTGACGACGATCAACTGTAGTCCTTGTGACCGATTTCTGTTCATAGTTTTCATACACTAGATCTGGGAGAATAATTGCACAAAATTCACCGAGTCCTTTACAGTTGCCTTGTTAAATTTATAGGTCAACTGCTCCACATCTCTGCCGCTTGAATAAGCAATAAGAAGCATGAGCTGCTATCGTGGCCATATAAATCGTGATTACATAAAAATAAATAAATTTAATTGAACAAAATAAATGTAATAAGCAGAAATTGGCTGAAGTAATATTAGCACTTTTAGGGCAGGACTCCACTTGTTCTTCGAGGTTTTCACGTTGGTCCGTGTATAGAGCTTTGGAAGGACGTCGATTACCTGTCAAAGGGTGCTTCAGAGGACAAAGTCGTTGCCGTGCATGTCTCGTCGGAATCGCGGTTGGATTTCATCAAGAAGAACTTTCAGTACAGGTATTTTGCGATTTAGTATCGAATAATATTATAACTGTTGCAGCTTCATGAGGCACCGTTCCGTGGTTAGGAGAAAAAATTGCCTGAGAAGAGGTGGCTGTGTCCAAACTCACTAAAGTTGGTTAGACCTCTCAGAGCATTCCCCTGGAACTTTATTTGACCAGGGTGAAGAGTGACCAAATGCAGTTTCCTAGACGCCGGGCAAGTGTGAGTATTAGCCAAAGATATTTGCTAGGATTAACTGAAATTTTGGAATGAAGAAATACGAAGACGCACGGAAATGAAGGAAATTCTATCAGTTTCGAAAACGACCATGTTCAGGTTGCATCGCACGATTGACGGATGACGTAACCATTGGTCCGTTAGAGTGACCGGTTTTCACCAAATCAACATTATCTGTTATCGCGAAATTATAAGATCTTTTCTTGGATGAAACAATAAGCTAAAAGTGAGACATGGAGACATATGTTGACAAATCATACAAAATAGACGAGCGTGGATTTTGAGACTAGGCAACAGTGATCTCCGTTAATTGAGAAGAAGGATCAGTCAGCTGTTGTTGTATAGCAACCTCATAATTCACCGGAACTCAGACACGACGCTCTCTGAAACTCGCAGAGCTGAGCTTCACCGTTTGCACATCACGTGCGGTACTTTAAACGCTTAGCCATGCCCGAATTTTAGCGCCGTTTCGGCCGGAAGACGATGCAGAGAGAAGGAAACCACCATAATTCTGGAAACTGATCGGCCTACTGCACCATGACCGGGAAAGAACTAGCTGTTCAAGGGATCTGGTTATCCGTTTACAGATTCGTCATCACTATGATAGGGACTTTTTTGACCTGACGCATTAAATGTTTATGATTATAATTACGTTGGAAAATGAATTAATGGGACCAGAGACGATCGTCACGCAAGGCCGTTGTCGCTACTGTTCTTCTAAGCTATTCAAAGTGTAAAATGCGTACTTTCTTTCGTTATGGTCTTTTGAATGGAATATTTGTGATTTACGATCAGTCAGCTCTTCCAGAATCCAGGAGCAGATGTTTCAGACGTAGGCAGTTTAATTTGTTTCACGTGCTTTGTTCTTTTCCGCTTGTATAAGAAGCATTTCATCCAACTGCTGGTTACCACTGAAGTTAAGCCTCATTTGCTGCTTTAATTCACGTCGTTCTCTTTGTTGAGGGGGAACATAAGGAAGTTGTAGTAATTCTGTCTGAAACGCCAGAAGAATGTCTTCCGAACTGACTTTCTGACGTCTCTTGTAGAAATTTAGATTTAAACAAGAAAAAGAGAGTCCCATCGTGTATGACATTTGCCAAATTCTTTAATGCAAAAATCGTTGAAACGGTAGAGCAACGGATTGGAATGATCACTTATATGGAACCAGAACCATGTGCCGCCTATGTAACCTCGATTTCTTACAGAAAATGCCAACGGAGCATTCAGCATTCACCGACAGTATTTTTATTTTCAGGTGTTCTTACCAGTCTTGCTGCGTCTGAGATGATTTTGACTGACCGATTTAAAAATTTACAGATAGATAGACTGACCAGCTGAGATGAAAAAGGCGGTTGAGAAGAGTTGCGGCCAGTGCAGCAACTCGTTTCGTTTTCGATTACCATGACATTCGTTTAAATGTGGTACAGTGACTAATTTGTTAATTAGTTTTAAATTTGAAAATATTTAAGATATTTAGGAACCTTAAATTCGCCCTTGCCATCAAGAGGTGCTTCGAAGAGGTTCACGAGGAATTTTTTCTTGACAAAGTAATCACTAACTGGATGATAACAATAACTGATGAGTGACACTTTGGAACACGTTTGCTTCAAGGGCGAGAGGTACTATCTTCGGGCTCTTGGGCACCTGCCTCGGCAGGAAGTTGCCCGGCTGGACGTGGACTATCCGGCGCTGTGCCAAGACTTGACTGTACCAAAACTGTTTGCACCGGAAAAGACTTTCAGCTCAGTGCTTCGCGTCTCGTCGTCTCATGTGCAACTGTGGACTCATTATGACGTAAAGACTTTTTTGCAACCGACCTAAATCGTGTCATAAACGTCATCAGTACTGCGTATTTCTTGCTTCTAGGTTATGGACAATGTTTTGATTCAGGTCGTCGGCGA